TGTCAGATACTTTAACTATGTAATATTTAATCTCGCTCCAAAATGTCTGAGTCCTCTAATCTATGGGCTCAGAGATGAACATTTTTTTCTTGCACTGAAAAATCTCATGACTGCTTCATCCTATTCAAAATAAACATAATTTGACAAGTTACATGAACAAAAAATAATATTTATATTTATCAAAACATAAAGCAAATAACTGGTTAAATGTACAAGAATAACTCTGATTGTATTGATAGCAAGTAACAGTTAACTTTACATAGAACAAGCAGGAATCTGTAGTTTTGTGTCTTTCTGTCTTATATGTGTTAAATTTACTAAAACACATTGCTTCTGTCTATTAAGACAAACTATTTACCGGGCACATTTTACACTGAAGTTTTAAAGTAAAGGTTAAACAGATAATAGGGTTATTTGATACAGTTCACTGTAGAGTATTTATGCAAAATGTGCCAGAATAAATAGATTAAAAGGTATTGATAATGTTTTCCATACAGATATACTCAGATATACTGAGAGGCTAAATAAAGCTGAACTTCTTACTGCATGTGTAAAAAAATATCATAGCTCCTTATCGGCCTAATATAATTATATAGTTAATCAATCAGTAATGTGGATTATCTTCAAGTCCATAATAACAATGTTCAGTCATTTATAACTGTAATGTGTTTACTGACTGTACAATGTTAAAGAAATAATATGTCATCAAATCTTGACATTGATATTGTTTGCAAAATTTAATTTTTTTTAATCAAATGTGTGCTCATCCATGCATTTCCCTCAGTGTACGTATGCATAAATAATACATTCATAGTCAGGTCTTAGTTGTTTAACCAAATTATAGTTTTTCTTTTAATTGTAACACTTTATTAATGGATTTAATGGGCTAATTTGCTATATTGATACACCACTGTATAAAGTAATTGCAATATAGAAATTACAATGTAAGAAGATAGTCATTGCATAAATATTATAAATTTTGCATAATCTATTTATTATTTTAAAAGCTAAAAGGGTACTCTGAAACAGTCTTTGCCAAATCTGTTTACCACCGGTGCTTGGAAGCAGCAAAAGAGAAGGAAAGGATTGTGCAAGTGTGGGCAGGGACTTCAAATCTAGAGACTTTTACTGGTAACAGGAGATCTATCTAATGTGATGGAGAGAAGAAAAAAAAGTACATTTTGTGTGTGCAGGACAACTAGGTGGAGAAAACAAGGTTAAGAGCATTTTTTGGAATTATATGTAATCTTTATCTTTATTGTTGCTACAAATATGTGAAATAAATACATGAAATGTAAAGATATTAGATGCCTTCATTACGATGGCAGTCATTCACATACATTCATTCATTGTTGAATGGCTCCCAACACCACTGTGTCGTCAGCAAACTTCACAATGCTGTTGGAGCCGTGGGTGGCCACACAGTCTGAAGTGTAGAGGGAGTAGAGCAGTGGCGAGAGGACACATCCCTGTGGTGCTCCTGTGTTGATGATGATGCTGTTAGAGACGCATCTACCCACCCTCACCACCTGAGTTCTGCCAGTGAGGAAGTCCAACACCCATGCACACAGACGGCTGTTGTTTCACATATGGTGCTAGGCAGCGTTTGATGCCTAGTGGTATTGATAATGTTTAGATAGATAGAAAGTCAGTTTGTCCTTGATTTAATGCTCCTTGGAATAAAATGTGACCAAGGTGTGAGGAATCTTTTAAAATGTTCTTGGTTTTCCTAATGCAGCAGGACCTAAGGAGATCTTCAAGAGAGGGTAGAGGACAGCCAATGGTCTCCTGGGCAGTCTTAATAATTCTCTGGAATGTTTACCTCTGTGTTGCTGAACAGCTGGAGAACCACACACAGAGGCAGAAGCACACGATGCTCTCAATGTGTCTCTAGGGAAATAGTTACTGCTGGGTCTTCTTTGCCAGCTCTGTCATGTTCACATCGAAGGCCAAGTTCTTCATAAAAGGAAGTGAAAGGAAACAGAAGTCTCGAACCCTCTCCAGACTGTGGAGTAACACGATATTTGTACCGTCGGCAAATCTGACGATGGAGGTGTAGTCATGTGTCTACAC